TTTGATTGTTGCTGAATATAGTATATTATTACTTTCTAAGTTAGTGTTGAGTTATTCTAAAGTAGAGAGGCCATGTTGGAATTTGTACTTGTTTGATATACTCTTAAATAATTGTATTGTGAGTTTAAGGTTAGTTCTTGAGTTAAGTTTTACAAGATCATGATGTTGAAATTAGTTTTACTTGCATATTAGTTTTTGAGTTTTAATAATATTGAGAATTATTTTGTGTGAATAGGTTGGAATGAGATATATTGGTTGATTAGTTTTGAGTTATATTCTAAAGTGGAGAGGGTCATGATGAAATTTGTACTTACTCTTAATTATTTGTGTTTTTTGTTAAGTTTTTATAAAATAGGTTGGAAGAGAGATATATATTGTTGGCTAGTTTTGAGTTATTCTAAAAGTTAGAATAGATATTGTTTTATAATAGTGGATGAATGTGTTCAAAGTTTTAGTTGCATATTGATATATTATCATTGGTTTGAAGGAAATATATATATACCAACTATATTTTTAATTAATTTATTCACAAAATAACGACGGCCAATGCCTGTCACGAAATATAGTCATTCCAGGACGACCCCCAAACAATGACGTATAAATAATGTCACACAAAAGGTGACGAACATACGATGACGTCCAAACAATGACGCACATACAATGACGGGCATAAGTCGCCATAAAAAAATTAACGAAACAAGGACACTCGTAAAGGTGTCGGTTGTTGCCCGTCATGGTTATCCTTTCATGACGGGCATGTCTGTCATGGAAAAAGAATATACATGACGGGCAATGCCTGACATTAAAACTGTCCGTCATGAAAGGGAAACAAGGACACTCGTATAGATGTCGGTCAGTGACCGTCATTGTTATCATTTAATGACGGACAATACCCGTCATGTAAAGGCAAATTTGTTGTAGTGTATATATGGGTATATATTGTATATGTGAATATATCTTGTGTATATATCTTATATATATAAGATATATATCTTATATGTATAAGATATATACACATATATCTTATAGTTCTGTAGAAAGGGTCCTCCATACCATTGGTAATTATTAGTCTTCCGTTAAGATTGATATATATGAGGATATATTTTGTGTATGTGTATAGAAAATTGAAGTTCTAAATGTCTCATAGTCTTAGTATTCCTGATTATATTCGTATAGATGAGTATATATCTTATATGTGTATATATCTTATATATTTTTGGATTTTGGAGGATTTCGGAAGGTTTTCAAATTTTGGGGGATTTTGGGATATTGTTTCAAATCTTTGTCAATTTCTTTCTTACAAAAGCCTCTGTAAAATGGATGTTTCATTTTTTTTTTGTTTCTTTCTTTTGGGAGATTTTTAGACGGGATTTAGAGATATTTTGGGAGGTTATGATTTCAATTTTGGGGAATTTAGGATTTTGTTTTTAATGTTTTGGTGTTTTAATTTGTTTTGGAAAATATCATTAACCTAAAATTATATTATGTGATCTAAATTATAACCTTCCAATTAATCAATTCTGCATCTTAAAATGAATTCAAAATTAATTTGTAGATACAAAAGGGTATTTAAGTAATTTATGTGATGGGTACCCTCTTAAATAAGGTTAATACATGACAAATGTGTAAATTCTATACATTCCATCCTTTTATGTAATTAGGATCTTTAAATAGCCCATCAATGTACTAATCCCATTCTTTTTTGGTTTCAATTCAATATTTGGTTTCAATTTAATTGTGGTTTGATTTGATAACTATGCATTGCAGTTTTTTTTTTTTGCATAGAATTTTGACCGTGTTTTAACTTGAAAATTTTGGTGGTGGTTTTGGTTAAAAAAATAATTAAAAAATAATAATTTGGGATTTTGATTACGTCCTCGTGTGGATTCATAGGTTGATTCTCTTCAATCAATTAGTGTACAATTAGATAGTAAAAGTAATTCGTATTGGAGTTATGTTACGAATAATTTCTTGCATGGAAAATCTATGTGGAATTATCTTACGGGTGTGCGAGTTAAGTCTAAAGACACCAAGGTAAATGACTACAAATCATCATTAGATACTTGTAAGGCTGAAGTTCGAAGATTATCACGTGGATAAATAATTATGTTACGCACTCCATTGGTGCTCACAGGTGGCAAAATACGATATTGCTAAACATGTCTGAGATCATCTGGCGAAATTGTATACACAATCTAATTTTGCCAAACAGTATCAATTGGAGACGAATATTCGTGCATTGCAATAGAATGATATGAGTATTCACAAGACTTTTGCTCCTTTATGTTAGAATTATTGGATGAGTTGGCATTAAGATAACGCTTAGAATTAAACTCTTTTGAAGCTTACGTTGCTTAGAGAGAATCACAACGCTTGGTCCAATTTCTTATGGCTCTTCGTAATGATTTTGAGTCATTGCGTGAGTCAATTTTACATTGTACTCCTCTTATTTGTATTGATTCGGTGGTTAGTGAACTATTGGCAAAGAAGACTCATCTCAATTGTCAAGAAGATAAGAAGGTTACACATTCTCTGAATCCATCTGTTTTTTCTACTCCATAGTTATCTTTAACACAGGTGCCATAAAGAATAATGCACGCACAAAGGTTTCTTATGATGGACGTGCGTTTTGAAAAAAGAAGGGTCATTGTTGGTTTTGGTTTCGGCTTCGACATTGGTTTTAGTTTGTTGGTTTTGGTTTTGGTTTGTTGGTTTTTACCTTGGCTTGGCATTTGTTTTGGTTTGTTGGTATTGGTTTTGACTTCGATATTGATTTTGGTTTTGGTTTTGGCTTTTGTATTGGTTTTTTGAATTAGTTTTTTATTGGCATCTGCATCAACCATCAACATCGGCATTATTTAGCAAACTCACAAATAAGGAATGTGAGTTTGAGAAAGGATGTTAGGTTACATTATTTAAACTAGATTTAGTTTAGATTATATTATTTGAATTATATTTCCTAATCTTATTATGATTAGGAATTATAGTATTATAAATATGTTATTATTTTTGTATCAAAGTAATTCAATTGAATAAAATACTATTTGTTAGTGGACCGTGTTGGTGTTGATTTTCGTAGAGAAGGATAAGATAAGTGAGAGAAAGTTAGGATTTTTGGGTAGAGTAGAAAGAGATTGACGTAGTGGGTAAAGGGGAGAGAAGAAGATGATAAAGTAAAAACTATATCTAAAGAATCGTTTATACAGGACCTAAAGAATCATCCATAGTTTAAGAAAACTATGGTGATAAATAATAACCAAAAAAAATATCAATTTAAAGAATCGTTTTTGGTGCCTCCTTTGAATAGAACCTAGAGAATAGGTCCATAGGTTAGGAAAACTAGATCTAAAGGGTTCTGGCCAATTGAATAAACTACTAGTTAGTCTAAAACTTGAAAGGCATAGTACTAGCCTACATAATTTGGCAAATATGAGTTAATTTGATGTTAGACATGACTTGATTAACTTGTAACGTTTTAATGGGTAGAATCAGCGTGTTTGCAACGTTATCACGATGTAGAACGACCGACGTTATCTTTAAAAGGGTCTCTTTCGAGAGAGAAAGTTTGGAGTCGCCACCAACCATTTATGAGACATGATTGACCACATAAAAAAGAAAAATTGTATGCAAAAACTTATATTTGGTTCGGGAGTCGACTGAGTGTAGGAAAGTAACACCCTACAACACTCCTTCGAAAACGATTACAATATTTTATCTTAAATTGTCCTCTAACATTGTATTGGTTCAAAACAAATCATCACTTTAATAATAAAACGTGAATTAACATTTTAAATTGTCCTCCTTTTTACAAGTTAGCATTATGGTTTTGTCTTTTAAGCATGGTGTTTGATGCATCTGAACAGTTTTCTAAGGATCCATTGGAGACAATATCTCTGAGTATTCCCTTTATTACCTACTCACGATTGTGTGTGCTTGGCATATTTCACGATCAGGTAATATTGCTAGCAGACCTAAACATTAATTGAATTTGAAAGGTTGAAATTCTTTTTTCAATCTATTGATACATTAAATAACAATCGGAAAATAATTTATTTGATACAGTACAAATAAAATTTATATTATATTAATATATAGGATACAAATAAAATATTTATTCGAAAAATATTCAAATAATATAAAATTTTAATTTAATAAGATATTAAAATATACATATTTTAAATTTGGGTAGAGATTATGCATTATTAAAATACTATTTTGGTCTACTTTCGACTTTGGTTCATTTTATTCTTGTATTTTTAAATGTTCATTTGCTATCTGTATTTTAAACTTTAGTTAGTTTTTGTTGTATTTTCAAAATGTTTATTTTGGTCCATCTATTATTAAAAGATGATCATTTTGGTCTCTTGATTTTATTTTTTAATCTCATTTTTCCTTTCGTAATTTGAACACGACATTACATTCAATATATTTTTTGAAATGGAACACATCTTTATATTAAAATATATAACATAAAATATATTTGTTATGTATAGAATTTGTAAACTTTTTTAAATAAGAACCACAAATAGTCTTTCTTTCCTTTCTTTTCTTTTTTCTTTTCTTTTTTTCTTTTGAAATATATGGAACAAAATGTTTCTTTTAACCAAGAAAATAATGTTTTATTGAAGTTACATGTTACACCAAGAAGGATTTTTTGTTGTTTTTTTGTTTTTATCCTACACCGAGAAGGTTAATGTTATACAAAATTACATAAATAGTAAATAGGAAACTTTCAAAGTAGTTATTATTACTATTTTTATTTAAAGTTTTGTTTATGTACTAATAAGAAAAAAAAAAGACAAAGTTTAAAACTCTCACAGTTCAATTGACCCGACACAACTGAAGACAAAAACCAAGTGATTCCTTAAATTTCGTCGTTAAAATTAGGCATGATAATTTTCTAATTTTAACAATGGGTTCCACCAGCTGTCCATTCTCTCTCTCTCCCTCCCTGTTGGAATTAGCCACACCTTCTATCTATAAAATCAAAGCTTGGAGACACACTCGTTGAAAATGACCGCTCCCCCACCATCCCACACCCCAAAGCATGAGCATCTTCTCGTTCCTCTACCTTCTCCTCTCGGCCGTATCTCTCGCAGATGCAGCGGGATGGGTAGGAGTTAATTATGGCCGACTTGCCGACGACCTACCCTCGCCCCCCAAAGTAGTCGAGCTCTTAAAAAACCAAGGAATCAGAGGAGTAAAAATATTCGACACCGATCCCACCGTCCTCACCGCCCTCGCTAAGACTGGCATATCCGTCATTGTATGCGTCCCGAACCAGCTCCTTTCCTCCGCTGCCGCCAGCCAGTCCTTCACCGACCAGTGGGTCCAGGCGAACATAACCAAGTTCCACCCGGCCACAAAAATTGAAGCCATTGCCGTCGGAAATGAAGTCTTCGTCGACCCCACCAACATCACCAAGTTCCTCGTCCCAGCAATGAAGAACATCTACGCTTCCCTTCAGAAGTACAAACTCGGTGACTCCATCAAAGTATCCTCCCCAATTGCTTTCAGTGCTCTCGCATCTTCCTACCCAACTTCATCTGGTTCCTTCAAACAGGATCTCGTTGACTCTGTCATGAAGCCCATGCTGGAATTCTTCCGCCAGACCAAATCCTACCTCATGGTTAACATCTACCCCTTCTTCGCCTATTCCGCTAACTCCGACAAGATCTCCCTCAACTACACTCTCTTCCAAGACAATCCTGGCGTCTTGGATTCCGGCAGTGGCTTAAAATACTATAGCCTTTTCGAGGCTCAAGTTGACGCTGTTTATGCGGCTATGAAAGCGCTCAAATACGACGACATTCAGTTGGTCGTTACGGAGACCGGGTGGCCGTCGAAAGGAGATGATGGGGAACTTGGAGCGAGTGTGGAGAATGCAGCATCGTATAATGGAAATTTGGTGCGTAGAGTTCTAAGGGGAGGTGGGACACCTATGAAACCAAAGGACCCAATTAATATCTATTTGTTTGCACTATTTAACGAGTACCAGAAACCAGGTCCAACATCGGAAAGGAACTATGGCCTGTTCTACCCTAACGAACAGAGGGTCTACAATATTCCACTCACAATTAACCAACTTAAGACTGGAGGCAACAACCAAATGCCGCCTGCCAGTAAGATTCCACCTACTAGTGAAAAGCCATCGTCCCWGGGACAAACATGGTGTGTGGCCAACGCTAAAGTTGGCGGGGATAAGCTCCAGGCGGGGCTGGAGTATGCGTGTGGGGATGGAGGCGCAGATTGCGGTCCAATCCAGCCAGGTTCCCCATGCTACTATCCTAATTTACTGGAGGCTCACGCTTCCTATGCTTTCAATAGTGTTTACCAAAAGAATGGTCGTAACACTAAGTCGTGTGATTTTGATGGAGCTGCATATATTGTTCATCAACCTCCCCGTAAGAACTATATAAAATTCAAATATTTTTTGTTTCTTTGCATATCCCTTTTTTAGAACAATTTGGCTAAACAAATGTATTTCTCATGCAGAGTATGGAGAATGTAAATTTTCGACAGGGGCCGATAGTGGGACGCCACCCGCCAATGGGACGCCACCGGCCAGTGGGACGCCACCAAGTAGTGGGACGCCATCGTCGCAGGGTCAAACGTGGTGTGTGGCCAACGCGAATGCTGGAACTGATAAACTCAAGGCG